ACTACACTTGCACGGGACCGTAATTATGTGATATAATCGAAATGATCGACATAACGCATATTCATGGTGCGAATAGCGGTTCCCTTTAAATAATGTGTTTTTTTGCATTTTATGTGCCTATGGAGAAACTTTTTTTCATTAGTATGCAAAATAAACTATTTTTGTATTTAACCAATAAAAATTATCCCACGTGATAAATGATCTAACGACCTGAATCCGGACACTCTTTCATTAATCCGGTTATAATTCGAATTGAGTAAATTCGGATTGATTAGAATTCAATCTGGAAAAATCATTGATCGACCAACCAAAATCACGAATTTTGAAAAAAACGCTCGGTTCATATAGAGAACAATAAATTGGACTAATAATAAGTTTTTTTAAAAAAAAAAATTTTTTTTTAAATTACTGGTGGGGTGGCCGAATCATAAAAATCGGCCTATGGTGTAGTATGATCGTTCATCCAACAGCAACGACCAAACAGAATCATGACAGGTATACCAATACCATGTGTTAATTATGATCCGAATAATCCTCATCCTCAATCCGAAATAGGATCTATCCGTTTAAAATTGAACATACTACGAAAGACCCAGCGTGTAGGAGGAATTGTCCGTACTGTACATGACGGATAAGGATATCCACATTTAATCCGAATTATCGGATCAATCCAAATTAGTCGGATTGCGGATCGAAGCACTATTAAATGTTATGCAAAGCGAAATTAACTTTGCCTTAGATGTGAAACATGAATCATTAATTTACAATTGATCACAGCTGTTTTCATTATTTTTGAGACATGAAAATTTTTTTGACAGCCTAATCGATAAGTTACCAAGTCGAAATCAATAAGTTACTGAGTCGGCTGACATCAAAAACTTATTGATTCGGTCATCAAGTTTTCAAATGGCCCAAAAATAATGAAAACAGCGGTAATATATATATATATATTAATATGTCCGCTGCCCGACCGAAATTTTGAACTATATAATACAACCCGAAAAATTAACTTTGTGTGGCCTTAAAGTACCTCTTGAGAGCGTAACATTTCACTAGTAAAAAAATACAATTTTTTTTTTTTTTGTTAGCTTCGTAAGAACACGAATATCCACTGTACAAAATAATCGGGAAAAGATCGGGGTTTGAAGAATTTCACTTAGAAGATAAAATTTACTATTTCCTATTGTGTGTATGAAATTATACTGTAGAGTAAAGGTAACTGGAAACGTTTGTCTAAAGTTATCTTATTACGTTAGATTAAATAAGTTTTTAACTGTTTAATTTAAGGTTTAATTTGAATAGGTTCAAGCTCTTTAGTGGTAGAATATCCAAGTTTAATGTTTAAATTTGGTCAGCTTTTGTAGCGTGTTTAAGTTTGTCAGCCTTAAATCGGAGTTTTAGTTCATATCTTGTAGATTCTTTAATGTGTTCGAGTTTATTAGTAATAAATATCACTTTACGCGTATCCCAATGTAAATATATGTGACAAATTCTTTTGCGCATATATTAGTTTGTAAGCTTTGAATAAAGTTTTTCTTCTTTTCTAGTAATATTGAAAGGTTTTACAACACACAAAACCCTGACGCACAAAATCGCGACAACACTAAAATCCCAAAACTCAAAATCCCGACAAAATCTGGAATTCGATCAATTCACCGACAATCACTTCGTAGACACCACATTTCACAGACAATTACTTACCGACAAGTTCATTTCACCGACAGTTTATTTCACCGAAGTTCATTTTACAGACAAAGTAATTCTGGTCAATATCATAAGGGTTAGAGCTAACGTTAGTGTAATTTATAAAAAAAAAACTTGTAGGTGAAATGAGCTTCGGTGAAATAGACTGTCGATAAAATGAACTTGTCGATGAGTATCTGTTATATGGACACCTAATACTCGCTCATACTTACCACATCCTAAATCGGGTTTGTGTCAAAATCCCGATGAACCTAGTATTCCCCTAAAAAAAAGGTTACGTAACTGAGCTTTAATTTAAAATACAGTTACAATAATGACGATAATTTTTCTTATCAATAATCAATTTTAATGAAAATGATTTTTTTTGCTTTTCATTCTAACGCTATTTTGGTTACTATACAATGTCAAGTGAAATAATGAAATATTGCACAGGCTACCAACCATATAAAAAATTGGATATTTTTTTTTTTCGAAGAAAAATTTCTTTTTTATTTGAAATTTATATTCGAATTATAGTAAAGTAAATTTTCAATATAAATTACTAATATACAATGAAATGAAATTGTTCGGAGAAAATTTAAGCTCAGTTACGTAACTTTTTTTTAGGGGTACGCTAGGATGGTTCCAGAACATAAAACCCGAAAATTCATCACACGACCCCGAGCGATTAAATCATCAGTAATATATAATGTGCATGAAAAAGTATGTCAAAATCAGTGATAGTTAAATATTGTATGATTAGTTAAATGATGTAATTAATTTGAATATCGTATGATTAGTTAAATAAATAATAAATAATATAATTGATATAATCAATTTAAGTCAAATATAGAGTATATAAAGCATATGAAAAAATAAAGAGAATTAGTTATTTTTTTGCTCTACTTAAGTAAATTCTAGAAAACATTTACCTTCGTATCTTTTATCAATAATAACAATGTCTTCAATCAAAAGTTGTACTTCTGCTCAATATGAACTTAAACATGCTACTTCTACTACCAAACAACCACTTGTCTTTATTACATCTAGTATTAACAATAATAAAGATCCAGCAACTCCTATAGATGCTGGTGAAATGGTTAATTTCACCGGTGAAATGTGAAATAATTTCACCAGAATTACACTAAAATAAAATTTTGGTGAAATGTGAAATAATTTCACCAGAATTACGCTAAAATAAAATTTTGGTGAATTGGTGAATTGGTGTAATTAGTGTAATTGGTGAATCAGTGAATTGGTGAAATGGATTGGTGTAATTGGTAAATTGGTGAAACAGTGAATTGGTGAAATAGCAAATTGGTGAAATGGTGAATTGGTAAAGCAGTGAATTGGTGAGTTGGTGAATTTATGAATTGATGATGAATTAGCAATTTTATTTATTTTAACTAGAAATGTGAAATTGATGAACTTGTTTGATATTACTTGCTTTTGTCACTTTACAGATTTTATTTTTATATTGCGTATATTGCAATCTAACTTCAAATTTAAGCAATTCTTTGCTATATACTCAAAAATACAGTACTAGTTATTTTGCTTAAATATATTATTAACAACTCATTTTTTATTTCTTGCTATAAACATGGTGTAAATACTGATAATATTGAGAAAAAAGCATTTTCAAAATCCATGATCCTGATAGAAAATTAAATATCAGAGTGGTGCTAAAAAAAAAATATAAAAAAAGTATTTGAATGTTATTAAAATCTGCTAAAAATATAATTTTGATAAAAAGTATAGTCACAAACCTTTATACTCTCCTCAACGATCACTTGACACAAAAGCAGCAGAGAAATAAAAGTCAATACTACGCCAAAACACAGCAATAAATACTAAATTAAACACTATTTTGCATAGAAAAATCTTGTAGAAAGCAACCTAGCTAGCAACAAGTATAATAACAGTAAGACTAAAAAGACAAAAAAGTATAAACGGCAGTAGAAGGTTGGCTATTCAGTGTAAAAACTCGAGCAGAACATTATCTGGCCTATTGCAAATAATAATATACAGTCGCAAAGAGTTAAATAGTTCAGCAAAGCACTGTAATATAGCAACAATAAAGTGTAAAGCACAACACACACTACTTCTTTGACAAAGAAAAACTTTTCTCTTATTGCTAACAGTTTTGAGAAAACAAAATTAACTCTGTAGTGCAGATTCTTGGAGTAGCACAAGCACAACACACAAAGTCACACTACAGTACACAAGCAAAAATATAGATTTTACATGTGATAACATGTGAAAAACATATACAATTTGCACTAAAGCTAAACATTAAAGTTTAAGTATTAAAACATGACAAACAGCCAAATACAGCATATATCATGTGAATCACAAGCAAAGAAGATGCCAGAGCTTAAAAAAATACAAAAATTTCTTTAAAAAAACTAACACTATATAATAAACAACATGCAACATTATTAAAAGAAGACAAACAGGTTGCAGAATACTTAAGTGCAAAGGATCCCTATCTAGTTGCAGTTATTTGCAACATACTATATATACATAGCTGAGCCCAGTATAAGAAGATCAAAGAACAAGAAATATCCAATGAAGAAAAATACCTTTTCAGATACAATACTGCAAAAGATAACACCCAAAAGAGAAATAGCAATAAAAACCTCATAGCAACTTTAATAAAAGTCAGCTATATAAACCCAACCACATTAGAGATTGGCTGCAAAAACAGCACGTTAGAGAAAAATCATAACAGTATATGCAAAAGAAGCTTCACGAAACATGAGAATAGCAACAATATAGCAGAAAACAGATACAAAATTAAAATAGAGGCTCTTGTGCAAAGTGAATACGGTACTACAGATTATGGCCTTGAAGAGCAAATTGCAAAGGGGTGTATAACAACAAAGACTTCAAAGATAAAAAGCATAACAAAAGGCCTAAAAGACATAAGGACATATATAGCTTAGCCTGGGCACCAAAAAAAAGACTCATATTCAAAAAGAATGCTATCAAGTCTAATTACTTTTTTACACTCTGAAACCTCTCAAAATATATAAGCAGAAACAAGATTAAGAGATATCTAGAATTCTTTGGCTCAGCAACAATATTAGCCTGGCAGCACAGCTCTTTCACAAAAGCATCATACATTAAAATAGTGTTAAATATAGAAAGCTAGGAGAATACACTAAGAGAGAGCTAGTGAGTTCAGTTAGACCAGGTGAAGACATACAGAATAACACCTGGTAAATTCAACCATGCTGAATTGGCAGAAAGAAACAGGTTTAGAAATATAATATTTAATATCCTGAGAACAGCATATGATAGTTTACTACTGTGATAGTTAAAAAAATACAAAGTACAAGCAGTACACACCTTAGATAACTGGCATAGCAACCATAACAGAAGGGCTCATATCTACTTTAAATCGAAAGAAGATATGGTTTAGACTTAAGAAGCAAGTCTCTATTATTTTGATACTAGACTAGAGTGGTGAATACTTACAGAGAAGTGTGAGAATAAAAGCCATATAGGCAGCTAGTCATACAAAGAAAACTCAGGCGAGAAAACTACTAGCTGCAAAAAGAGAAAGCAGAAGGAAGAATGGAAAGGCACTAGTAATTTGGAAACCAAAAGAAAAAGAGAAGATCTAGGTATATTAAATATAGAAAATAAAAAACTCAAGTAAAATAGAGTACTCAAAGAGAAAAGCAGCAACAACAAAATGAATTTAGCAGAATATGAAAACCAGGCTGAAAAGAATAATTATGACAAAGAGAACTAGGCAATTAAAGACCAGACAGACAACAACTTAATTCACAACATGTTGTTGCAAATTTTGAACATACTTGACAATCTTGAGAATCAAAAAGCGCCTTTGGATACTTTTTTTGCTAGGAGCTCCCTAGCAGACTGCTTCTAAAAGGCACCAAGGGTGAATCAACAAATAACTCTGGGTATACAAAGATAAAGAAAGGGAGCTAGCAGAGAATGCCTCTAAAAAAAAAGCTCTTAAGAGAAATAAATGGGCAGGAAAACATGTACGAGAACTTTAAAATTTTAAACATTGGGTTTCACAATATCAATGGTATTAAGAACAATAAAAACAAACTAAGAGCAGTTATAGACTATGCAGAAAAAAAAAAAATAGATGTTTTGGGTCTAGGAGAAACTAATATTAGTAATATAGAAGGCACCTTTGCAACTAAGAATATTGAAATATACAAAAGTTTTTGGGCAAGTGCAGAGGAAAATAAGAAAAAAGAGTCAGGCCTCAAGGTGCTGATTAAGAAATATTGGAAACAACACATCACACAGCTAAATTGAAATAACTTATATTTTTTAAAGCTGTTTCTTGATTTCAAAAGCCTTTCTATAGTAATAGTGTTTGTATGCATTGCTCCAAGTGACAAAATAATACAAGAAAAGATTTTAAACAAGTTAAAGAAAACTTTAGAGAAACCAAGCCAAAAACCTCAGCAGTTCGTAATTTTAGAATACTTGAATATCAGTATAGGCAGTTTAGAAGAAAACATCTCTCTCAGCAATACAAACTTCAAAAGTAAATCAAAACAGAAAATTCTGGCTTTGCTAGAAAAAAAGAATCTATATGATATACAAGAAGCCTCACAAATACCTACATAGTTGAACAGTATTAGTGAATCAAGAATCAACTATATTTGGGTTTCTAATATTTGGAAGCGAAATATAGTCAGCTCTAAAGTAGATGATATGAACTTATATATGATGAGTAACTACAAGCTCACATAAACAAGCATTGTGACAGAGCTGGAGTTAAGGAAAATAACTCTAGCAAGGTTAAGATGGAAAAACCATAAAAAAGTAAACTTAAACCTAGACAAGGTATCAAAAGAAGACTGAAGTTTGTACAAAGAAGAACTTGGAAAAAAACTTAAAGACCATTGGTGCAAACACAAACCAAAAAGCATAGATGATGAGTAGGATATCATAGAAGAGTACATTTAGCTAGCAGCTAATGAAAGCTTTCTGAAAAAAAGCAAAATGTCCAAGATAAAGCAAATTAGCAGAGAAAGTAAAGAGTTGAAGGCAATTAGATTAGCAGTCAAAGCATGCAACAAGGGGTACCGCAAATTAAAAAAAGAGGCACTATATAACAGTGATGGTAAATGACCTGAAATGACCCAAATGACCCAAATGACAAATGACCAGTCATTGGGTCATTTCAAAGGTG